ATTTTATTCCTCAGAATTAAATGCAGTCAACAACCAGAGGGGTAAATACGGTCTGGTGAGTAAGATTCACATCGAAATCGAATGATGTAATATACGTGTTGCCTCGGCAGCGCACGAGCGACTCAGTCACACCAACAACATCAATCTCTTCAGAAAAAGATGGCCGCATCAGCAAGCTCTCACTCAGAGGGGGAAGAACCGCAGTGTGGGCTTCCAGCCTCGAGAACGAGCTCTAGATCTAGGGAACACGGGTGGAGATAGGACGAGCCGTCTCCAACCCGTCCACCAGATCATATGCGATTCCCACGAACTCAGTCGCCGCCGTGCCTCAGCAGCAGCGGGACTGCAATCGCAAGATCACAGGCACGGACACACTCCTCGGAGAGCGAGCGCTTAACAGCGGGCTTCTTTTTTTCTTTCTTTCTCGAGAGCCGACTGCACAAGCTCCACTCTCCATTGATGCTGTTCATTATAAGACTCACAAACAGATATCAGACTGACACACACACACAGAGCGCTTGCTGAATGACAGAAAGCTGACGCTGGTCTCACCACACGTGCTTTTATAGCTTCCTGGTCACTACGTCACCCGCCCGTGATGTCTCGCCCATCTATTGGTCTGATTACACATGAGGTTCAGAGCCGGTCACGCTGAAGGGCGTTCCCTAAGCGTCTTCCGACGCAGCTCGAGTTCCTGAAGAGGAACTATTATTACATTTTAAAATAACTGTTTTCTATTATTCAAAATGCAATTTATTCCTGTGATAACAAAGCTGAATTCTCAGCAGCCATTACTCCAGTCTTCAGTGTTACATGATCCTTGAAAAATCATTCTAATATGCTGGTTTTCTTTAATCCTAATATGCCGATTTCTTGTTATTATCAATGTTGAAAAGAATTTATTCGAAACAGAAATCCTGCTAAATTTTAAAATGTCTTTACTGTTAATTTTAATTAATTTAATGCATCCTTGCAGAATAAAAAAAATTTATTCATTGAAAAAAAAAAAAATCTTACTGACCCTTACTGACTTGCTGTCCGATGAATTTCCAGTAATTGTCCTGCTGATTATAATTACTTAAGGAGGCATTATAAAAGTAAGTTGCGTGAACTGCCAGCAAGTTGCTGGTGACGGACATATACTGAGTGATCCGTGATTGTTACTGATTGGTTGACTGACCTCTCCCAATAGTCTTGGCTCCAAGACAGGCCTCTGAGACTCTCATTCCTGACTTAGCTACCGCATAAATCCGGCTCTCCTGAAAAACACACACAGAAACATGAAAACAGTGATGTTTATTTATCATACAAAATTTGCCAATGTAGTGCTAGGGTGATGTGGGTGGTTGCCAGGGTGTTGCTGAGTGGTTGCTAAATATTTCGAATGGTTTTCTGAGTGTTCTTTTATGTGTTGCTATGCAGTCAGGTGGTTGCTTGCTAGCCCAAATCAAAAGAGCCCCATAAACTCACCCTAAGCATTCTGGGTAGGGCTGCACTACTGCTGAGTAACTACTAATCTGTTTGGAACTAATACTTAATGGTACTTGATTTGATTGCACCATTAGTTCATCACTAATAAAGTAATATATGTTATAAAGTCTCTTCTGCTGACCAAGTAATATTGTAGTTACAAGTACAGTAATTCTGTGAAATATTATTACAATTTTAAATTACTGTTTTCCATTTAATATCATGTAATGCAATTTATTCCTGTGATGGCAAAGCTTTTTTTCAGCAGCCATTACTCCAGTCTTCAGTGTCACATGATGCTTCAGAAATTATTCTAATATGCTGATTTGGAGTTCAAGAAACATTTCTTATTATCCTCAATGTTGAAAACAGTTATGCTGCTTAATCTTTTAGTGAAAACCATGATGATTTTTATGATGTAAGTTTAGAAGAACAAGATTTATTTGAAATAGAAATCTTTAGTAACATTCTAAATGTATTCAATCAATTTGCATTGCAATCAGTTTAACACGCCCTTGCTAAATAAAAGTATTAATTTTACTTAATTATATTACTAACCACCAACTTTTAAATGATAGTGTATAGTCCAAACAGCATACTAAAATATGTAATACTAAATATTGTATTAAATATTTGACTTAAAACAGTCATGAGTAATAAATAAATACTAAAACAACAAACTGGAAGTGATATATTTTAAGTTATATTTTTGTGGTGATTTATTTTGTGTATACATTTTAACTAAGTTTAATAATGCTAAAAAAAAAGTAGAAATGCACCAGCTGCTCATTTACATTACAATCGGCACTTGTACCAACTTGATAACTTGTGATAGCAGATCTGTCCTCAACAAGTCACACAATTTGAGGCACAAGCCATAGTATTCTTTCCTGTCTTACCCAAGAGGGAAATCGGTGCAGAGGTGGTGTAGGTGGTTTAAGAGATTCTGGGTCCATCATCTCAAACTCCTTGGCCAACCCTTTAAATAATCCTCCATCAGTGGGCTGGGTTTCCATCTCTGACGCCTCCACCACACCCTCCATGCTTTCTGGAGGCCCTTCATCAATGTCCGTCTCCTCTAGCCCATGTGTGGAAACTGTCCCGGGGACCAGACTGTGGCAGGATGGAGAGGTGCAGTTTCCGATATCAATACTTACGTTGATCTGATGAAGGCGCTCTATGCCGGGCTGTGGCTGACTGTGGTGTTTCTTCACAAGCTGGATGCTGTCACGAGGGGTTAGAGGGGTGCGAACTTTGGGCAGGGTCATGCTGGTGCCCAAGGGTAAAGGCAGAGGGAAGGGGCATGACAGCGGGAGGCGTACTAATGGGGGTGAGAGGGACACAAGAGGAGGGCTCGTCGGAGTGGGGGTAGGCGTGTCGAAGCCACCCGGACCAGGTGTCTCATATGCTGAGGAGGACGAGCAAGAGGATGAGGAAGAAGAGCGAAGGCGCTGGGAACGAAATTTGCTGTTGAGTTCATCAGAAGAGTGATCTCTGTCCGAGGCTCCTCCCAATGCTCTCTCGTGCGTCACTCCAAAAGAAGGCTCCGCCCCCTCTGCGCTTTCCTTTACCGAGGTTGTGGTGTCAACGCCATCTTGACTAGACTTATGAGAGTCTCCTTTGTCTTGTAATGTGGGAAGTAAAGATGCACTATGAAAAGCGGAATCACAACCCTCCATGATTTTCCTTTTGCTATCTGCAATTTGCAACAGATATAAACACATATGTGAAACATCCAAAAAGTGTACTTAAAAGCTGAACAATTTTTTTAAATGATTTAATATTTTATTATTATATGTTTTAGTGATGCCCCAAAATTTAGGCAATTGAAAATATTGGGCCGAAAAAGAAAAGACACGAAAAAAATGCACTTTTGGTTTCAGAAAAAATAATTCTGGCAGGCCAAAATCATCAATGGAAACAGTGATGTTTAATAAGTGCACAATAAACTACAACAAGTAAACATGTCAGCAGTGTAGATGCACGTCACAATGACCAAAAATGATGCTACAGTAGCAATGTGTAAAATTTGTTCAGCTAAAATATCAAGAGGCAGCTTTCAATAATAATGCTGGTGCATCACTAATATGTTTTGTTCATTCTAACATTATTTAACAATTATTTTGATCAAAATCTTGATGTACCATGTGAATACTAATAACACAGTTGACCTAAACCATTTATGGAAACTGCACATTTTTTTTAATAATTGGCATAGCATTGATGCTAAAACTGAGTACAATATCAAAATAACAATACAAATCATAAAAGAGGAGAAGAAAGAAGAGAAATCTTAAATGTACAGTATCAAAAACTGGTTAAAGCTGAAGGCAGGAAATGGCCGCTACAATAAACCATATCTGACTTAATAAGTGGACTTTAAAACAATACAAAATGTAAAATTAAGTCACTTTAAAGCTGCAGTCCGTAAGTTTTGCCTCTTTGTCGCCATCTCTGTTTGAAAACCTGGAATTGCAGTTACTTGCGGAATTATCTTCCTTGCCTGGGTTGTACTCTATTATTATGTATCTAATGTTTTGAGGAGTATTTGTGGCATTCAGTCACTGCACCGGTGTGAATCCTATACTTAGTAATCACAGATTCTAGCCTACATCTTGGAATATATGACCCAAATAAGAATTTTCACCGGATATTGTCATCTGAGTAAGTAAGTAACAAGTCTGCCACGTTTGTTCTGACCAACTGAGGAAAAAAGCATTACAATAAATCGTGCTACCAATGGTGATTTAATCTAACGATTGATTAGCTCATTTCACATCAAACCGTGCAAATTATTATTATTGTTATACTTTATTCTCAGATTATTAATATTAACAATATCAGCATTGCGTGACTATGAGTATAGTGTGTGTGTAGATTTACATTTCTGTACAGTCTAATCTCTAATTGTCATGCCATTCGAATTTCATACAATGAAATAATTTTAACCCAAAAAGCAAACTATGCTCCCTTCGAACTGGTTGTCTTTAAAATACAAATTTTGTGTAATCCCAGGCTATCTGTAATCAGAAGCACATTTAAAACAGGAATATAATTTAATTTAATTCACGTGTTTCATAAAATTCTTTCTGGATTACAATCCACCACCAAAATTATTTTTTGACATTTAATTATTCTAGCTGCTGTGAGAAAAGGCTAACGATCTGCCACCTGCAGCATCCTCACATGCGATAGCCTAGTAGCCGGGACAACTTCTTTATGTTTACAGAAGTGACGTAATGACGCAGCGCCATGCTCAATTTTCCCGCGAAAACCTACCCCTACAACTCAAATTAGTAAACATTATTATAAGATAACCGTTGAGAATCAGGCTAAAGTAAGGCAATAGTTTTGAACACTGGCTGGTTATGTACTTGCTCAAATATTGATTTTGGATAATTTTTAACCAAAAAAAGTTACGGACTGCAGCTTTAAATAAATCAACTGTTTTACACAATAAAGCAATATTTTAAGACTGATCCATAAATAAACCTGAAAAAAAATGGAATCCGCAAAGCTCTAACAAAACTTCAAACCATGCTGAGGTAGATGATGATGATGATGATGATGTACCTCTACAGTTGGCTATGGACCCTGTCAATCTCCAGCCCTCCTCCTGGGCAGGCGGTGTCCCGGGGCAGCTGGGAGGGTGGAGTGGGCTGGAGGGGACCAGATGGGCATCCACCGCTGGAGACATGGGCCTCTCGAGAAGAGCTGACAGAAAGACAGTGAGATATATACAAACATAAGCAAAAGCAAATGGTAAAAGGAAAGAAAACAGGAACGAAACTACAGTATGTTTACTCTGAAGCTTGTCTTGCAGTATGAGGATCTGCTCGGTCTGCTTCAGGTTTGCCTTCTTCAACTGCTGGTTCTCCGTTTCCATCTACAAGACACAAAAAAGAAATGAGAAATGTAGATGACACGCTCTAATGTTTTTTTGATCCACCGTACTTCCATGTTTCAACTCACCTCTCGTAACTTAAATGTGACCCAGTCTTTGATTTTGGCAGCTTTTTCTTCAATTATCTTTGCCTCTTGAGCTCGAATGAAGTTCTGCAGATAAAGAGGGCCGTTTTGAACAACATTTCTATGAGTCCTTAAGTGAGAGTTTAATGGACACATATGACCATTTCTTCCTCACTGTGAGGACTTTTCTTTACCTGATTCTCCAGTTGTCCTTCAAGTCTCTTTATGATCATGTCTTTCTCTTGAATTTGACTAATCAGCTCTTGATAACGCCTGTACAATGAGTTTTCCGATTCACTGGGCTGCGTAATTGCAGACTTCAGTTTCTCCTCCATAATGTGGACCTATAATGGTAATCTTGATTAAGTCCTCAAGATAAATGTGGTTTATATAATTTTTTTAAATAAAAAACAGCTAATTCTCAAGAAAGAGTTGCCATTTGTGCTCACAATTCTTATTACTTACAGTTGTGGTCAAGATTTGGTGGTCAAAAATTGCATAGTTTTTTCCTTCTGGAGCATCAGTGAATGGTTGAACTTTTTGTAATAGTTGCGTATGAGTCCCTCAGTTGTCCTCAGTGTGAAAAGATGGGATTTCAAGATCATACACTCTTAAAAATAAAGGTGCTTCACGATGCCATAGAAGAACCTTTTTGTCTAAATGGTTCCATAAAGAACCTTTAATATCTGAAGAACCTTTCTGTTTCACAAAAGGTTCTTTGTGGCGAAAGAAGGTTCTTCAGATTATAAAAAGGTTAGAAAGAGATGGTTCTTTAAAGAACCTTTGACTGAATGGTTCTTTGTGGAACCAAAAATTGTTCTTCTATGGCATCGCTTGAAGAACCTTTTGAAGCACCTTTATTTTTAAGAGTGTAGGGTCATTGTTGGAAAGGGTTCAAATACACAAAAGATGCTGGAAAACCAAAGAATTTGTGGGACCTGAAGGTTTTCTGAAGATTAGGCAGTTTAACTGTTCAGGACAAACAAGGGACTCATGAACAACTATCACAAAAAACAAAACAAAAAACAGCTGTGGATCATCCAGGGAACAGCACAGTACTAAGAATCAAGCTTATGTAAACTTTTGAACAGTCATTTTTATAGTCAACTATTTTCTCTTTTGGAGTATATGTAAACATATTTTATGCAAAATATCTTATTCAGGTCAGTACTAAATAAAAAATAACATGCATTTTGTATGATCCCTCTTATTTTGGTAAAATAATTAACATTTTGCAGATACTGTAAAGTGTATGTAAAATTTTGACCACAACTACACATACTTAGTAAAAAGATTCAGTTGATTCAATAACATTTTTTTATATTCATTTAATGTTTGTTTTTCTTCCATCTGAATATTAGCTCATTTAATCAAAAACACTCAAATTTAACTTTAAAAAAATTGTATATGCAGTTATTATTTTTCTAAAATGCATTGTATATTTTACAAACCATAAATATTGACTATTTACTTTAAGAAAAAGAAAATATTGACCCAAAGTGGTTTGGCATAATAATATTTGCTTGCTAAGGCTGTTATTATACCTTCAACCCTGTAACTTTCAACAGCAAAACATTATGAAAGTACCAGTGTTAGCAAAATTACATTGTAATGGATAAAAACAAGCCAATGTGTGATTTACAGTATTACGAGGCACACTGCAACTGAATGAATTTATATAGTGTTAATGAAATATCAATAAATATTTTGGCAAACAGGATGCTACTTCCTTAGAATTATCCAAATTATGGAAGAAAAAAAAAGTAGGGATAGTGGTACAACAACTATACTGTACCTGTTTTTCAGCGTTCTCTGCCCGCTGGTCAGCCTCTATCACTCTCTGTTCCAACTCCTGCATCTATAGAAATAAACACAGAGATTCATGGATTGTTCTTTTGATGCTAGGATATGTGTGTGTGTGTGTTGGTTATATAAACTATGAATGTATGATAAACTATTAGAATAATCTACTGTATATCTGGCTTTGAGTGTCGTTATCTATCATGCTTAAGTGATTTTGATCATAATCTGGCACTAAATACTGAGGGCATGTTGTACTGGTGTGGGTTTGAGCACGCTCATTCCACAACCCACTGCGGTTTTCAACAAGACCACCATAATGGCCTGACAGCACAGGGAAAAGGTTAGGGCATATACGTAAACAAGCCACCCCACTCCTAAGTTGGGAAGTTAGGACAAGTTTCCCGAATCAAGTAATGTGTCTGCACATACTGAAAGCGAAATGTCTCGTTGCTTGTCATGGCAACAAAAAAAAAAGAGAAATCACACACACACGCATACATATATATATATGTGCCGGCCATGACATGCCTTGTGCTCATTGTTTCATGAGCTCAGTGACCCAGTAAAAAGAAGGACAAGCATTCTAATGGATTCCCACTGTATGACCCTTTATTCTTTCCCTTTTTCTTTCCACCCTTTCTCATTCCTCAAGCTAAAAGTACAGGGATTCCCAGGAGGCACCCACTCCATGTGAGCATTCCCTGAGTGTCAGGTCCAGAAGAGCAGCCTGTGGGATCATTGTGTGGAGGTGTGACTCTTCACCTAAGGGTCAGCAAATGTACAGAAATTAATAGACGACACAGTGACAAATATGAACAAGGACATGCCTTCACTGACATTTCATCAGTCCGCATTACTATGGGAATAGTGTCCACTCACCCAAGCTCAGCACTGACCTCAGGTTAGTCTTACCCACTCAGCAATGATTCACTGAGCATTAAGAGCTATTCAACAACTATGTCGTAAAGTTTACTGGTGGTAAGTGGAGAGTGTTGAGCTACTGGCCTCAACTACAATGACACAAACAGATGGAGTGAAATTCCAAGATAAGGTAGTATAGCCTTTAGTCAGATTAGATTTCACATTTAATTTCAACTACATGAAAATTATGGTGTAAAAAAACAAATTATTAATTGGAAAAAAATTACGTAAGAAATTATTTTATAATGTATACAGAAATATGTTGTCACCTTTATTTCTACAGCAATTTATACAATACAAATTGTTCCAAAGCAGCTTTACAGGGATAAACAGGAAAATAATGATTTGATGCATACAGAGATCGATTCTGCTGTAAAGCAGCAATAAAAAAGACAGTTGCGTCATTGTTCTGATGAGGTCAGTTCAGTGTTGATTCTATTCCATTCAATAACTGTGTGCGGATACAGATTTTAGAGTCGTGTAGTTTAAATTAGTTCATTATGTCGCATCTAATTTATGCAACCCCCGTTTTCCTACAATATTGTACTTAGAATTAGTATAATAGCCAATTTACCAAAACTGAAATTAAAGTTTTCATTTAGCCAGTCCATCATGACTGTGGAAATCACCAGCATAGCATACATCTGCTATCGGTCTCTTATTAAAACATAACCTTTTAATAGTGGTGCACTATTTTGTAATTTTGGTGGATATTACTCAAGTCACTCTCATTAAAGCACACTGCATTATGGGTTACAATGTTTACTGCAGTGTGCTCTGTTGTATTCTGTAAGGATTGGCAAAAAAAAAATTGTACATCACATTGGTATTCTGTTAATACAGAAAATGCATATTCTTTGCACAGTCAACCCTCTACGCACACCTTGGCAATATAATCGCCATTGGCTAGTAAATTTTTTTGTTTACTCATCAGACTGATATACTATTTTACACACACACGTTTACTTAGCTATCTAAATGGGGACATTGCATAGACTTCTATTGTTTTTATATACAGATAGTTATACACTTTTTAACCTAAACCCACCCCTACCCCTCACAGAAAACTTTCTGCATTTTTACCATTTCAAAAGTAAAAAAAAAAAACTTTGTTTACTTTATTTTTTTTAACTGTTTTACAAATGAGGACATCCACAAATTTAGGTTTTTGCCGATTTTGTCAGGCTTTGCTCACTTTTGGGTACAAATTTGTCCCCAACACATTATATTGTGCAGAAACAGTATGCGTAGTATGGTAGCTCTTTGAACATAGCTTACGTGCTCTCACACACTTTTTTTATCTCATTCTACAATGGGACACAATTTTCAACTAAAGGGCATGTGTACGTGAACAGAATGGAAAAAAGTATTCCCTCACGCCAGAATGAGAGATCACACCCCTCACACAATTCTGTGTCAAGCTTTTCCTCTGCAAAGTGGGTCAATGTGTAAAACACTCCTAACGCCGCCCAGAGAAGCAGATGAGAAGTGTTTGAATCTTTCTAAACAGGCACCAGCAGCAACCTCTCAACACTTTCTTTTGTACTCTTCAACAAAACAGGCAGAAACCCATGAGACACTGAGCCCCAATATCCAGCGCGAGAGAGAGGCTGGAAAGAATGGGAGAGCAGGAGAGTGTGGAGGTGAGGTTTAGCGAAAGGCTGTTAGAGCGATGACCAGAGTGGGAAGAAACCTGATGAAAGACGCTTGGGAGCCGTCCAAGACTTAATGTCCCTGTGGTCTGCGTGTTTGGACAGTAAACACCCTAATGGCACCACCACAGATATGAAAAAAAAAGAAAAAAACACAACAACAGACCTACCTCTTGGTAGAAAATTGATGTTGTAGCTTTTGAATGGACTTATTAACATCAATAAGATCCAATATACACACATGGTTTACAGACCGATCTGATAATGTTTACATGTGAGGAGATGTTTATTCCACAGTGTGTTTATTGAGACAACCCTGATAGCACATCACGTGCATGTCTATTTGACGTCTGCATTTACATCTGCAATATGTATTTTTTAGTGTTTGCTCATCTGCAATACATCTATAGGACGTTTCCTATTAGATGTCAAATAGACATTTAGAAGATGTCTTTAAGATGTTTATGATTTAGAATGTATGTAAAACTGACATTTGAAAGATGTCTATCAGATGTTTGTACACAGCAGATGCTTTCCAGATGAAGCAATCTCTAACAGACATCTTGCAGACATATGTGTGCTACCTGGGAAAGTTATGCATGAAAAATGGTTAGGTGTTCTGATTCTTCACTAAATGGTTTTATGGATTGTGGTGAGTCACCCAGTGCCAAATCAGCGTGGCCATGGAAACAGCCCTCACACCTCACGACTGCCGATCGTCAGCACCTGCACATCATTAAGAGGATGATATATAAACGTAAGAGATGGGAAGGAGGTTGAGCATCGCCTCCGATTATGCAGGACACTAACTGTGTGCTCTTTGTTTGTTGCAGAGACCAGCGGCTGACGATCGGCCTTCCCCACACGTTCACCCTGGTTCACCCACCCCTCTACAGGACTGCCCTGCAGCACCGAGCACGCCTTCACAATAGTATTCACCTTTGGTTTGATTCACCATTTGCAACTGTCACAATAAAACACCCTCCGGGGTTTTGTCAACGGCTATTTGTGTCTGTGAACTCCCTCTCCCAGCCACAATGGTGGAGAATGCAGTCATATAGATTGGGAGAAGAAGAAAAAAAACAGACTTTATCATTGGTTGTGACTAACACCTGTTGTCCTTGTTCACAGACGCAGCCGCTCTCTTGCCCTCTCATATGACAAGCCCAGAATGGAGGAAATCATCCGACGTCTGACTGAAATCAACACACTCCAGCACCAGCTCGCGGAACAACTCGCTGCTCGCCAGGAACGGACGGAGCAGACAGTGGAAATGTTGCGGGAAGCCGCCGCGGCTCGTGTGCCGTTACCAGATCCCTGCGCGTTGGCGCACCACCATCTCACCAAACTTAGCGACCTAGATGATATAAAAGCTTACCTGCACACATTTGAAGTAGTGGTCACCCGAGAGAGTTGGGATCGACGGGAGTGGGCCCATCTCCTAGCCCCTTTCCTGACCGGGGAAGCGCAACAAGCCTATTTTGCTTTAACTCCTCCTGAGAGCGAAGACTATGGCGCGGTCAAGCGGGAAATCCTAGCCCGAGTGGGGCTGTCCCCCATCTGTGCCGCACAACAGTTCTGGACTTGAACGTATGAGAAAAACGTGCCAGTGAGGGTCCAGGCCACCCGGTTGTCCCGCATTGCGCATCTGTGGCTGCTCGTAGACGAACCCTCAGCCGCCAAAGTCGCCGACCTAGCCCCCTTCCTGACCGGGGAAGCGCAACAAGCCTATTTTGCTTTAACTCCTCCCGAGAGCGAAGACTATGGCGCGGTCAAGCGGGAAATCCTAGCCCGAGTGGGGCTGTCCCCCATCTGTGCCGCACAACAGTTCTGGACTTGAACGTATGAGAAAAACGTGCCAGTGAGGGTCCAGGCCACCCGGTTGTCCCGCATTGCGCATCTGTGGCTGCTCGTAGACGAACCCTCAGCCGCCAAAGTCGCCGAGAGAGTGGTGGTGGACCGCCTGCTCCGCACGCTTCCCAGATGGTATAGGAACCCAGTGGGGATGCGTAACCCGAATAGCCTGGCTGAGCTGGTGGAGGCAGTCGAGCTTGCAGAAGCGGCTTTCGCGAGAGATGCTGGAGAGAGGGCGGTAGCAAGCCGCTGGAGGGCAAACCCCATTTGGCGACCACCGGAGGGCACCTCAAGGCCAGTAAGCAGACCTGGCGGCCCCGCCCCGGCAGACGAACCCATGCCCACGGAACCTGCCCCAGTAGCAGCATGGACATGGTTGGCCGGTTGTGTAGTAAACCACTCTGTGACCCCCGGGGCTCCCGAGCGGCGGATTGTTATCAATGGGAGACCAGTCATGGTGACTCTCGACTCCGGCAGCGCCATCACGCTGGTGCAGCCCGGGGTGGTATGGCCCTAGGCCCGAGGAAAAGCCACCATCCCAATTACCTGCGTGCATGGGGATACTCGGCAGGTACCCGCCCGCCAAGTCACCATCTCCGCTCCATCAGGAGCCTGGGCCCTGGAGGTGGGCGTCATCCCGGATCTCCCCGTGCCGGTTCTTCTCGAGAGGGATTGGCCGGGGTTTGAACCGCTGCTCGCCGCCACGATACCTCAGGCCAGTAGGGGGCTCCGCCGACCGGACCGCCGGGAACGGAACAGCAGGGTTCGCCAGCCAGCCCTGATGGCCAATGAAAGTGAGCACGAGTGTGAGTCGCAGCCTGGTACCAATAACCCGTTTCTAAATCTCCATCAACAGATAACCTCTGGGGGCTCGTTTGGTAGAGAACAGCGTGAGGATGACCGGCTACGGAATTGCTGGCACCAAGTGTGGATAGTCGACGGAGAGGTCAGACAGCCCGCGCCTCACCTTGTGCCTTACTTCCTGGTCCAAAATGGTCTCCTCTACTGTGCCACCCCGAGGCGGGGGGAGGAAAAGTTACTATTGGTGGTGCCCAAAACGAAGACGGCTACAGTTATTGAGCTGGCCCACACCCACCCGATGGCTGGTCATCTGGGGGCTGCCAATACCATACAACGGTTCCGTGATCGCTTCCATTGGCCAGATTTAGAAGCGGAGGTGAAACGCTTCTGCCAAAGCTGCCCTATCTGTCAGCGCACCACTCCAGCGCGGCCTCCCCCCAGCCCACTCATTCCTCTCCCTATAATTGAGGTGCCCTTTGAGCGCATTGAGATGGACCTCGTAGGGCCCCTGCCGAAGTCCGCCCGGGGCCATGAGCACATTCTTGATGCTGCCGTATGTGCTCTTTGGAATCCGGGAAGTGCTCCGAAACATACTTTACATGAACGCAGAAGTTTCTAGCAATGCTAGCTCACTTTTGTGGGTTGCTGTGTTCTGAAATATGTCTGACTACAATTCACGCAAATATGCTTTGCATTCTCAGTGTTGCCACAAGGGGCGCTACAGCAGGTATTAGCCTAAATGTCTTTTACAGTCAGTTTTCCCTTTCAGGTCAACTGCTATCATGGCAGATCAACTGTTTAAAAAGAATCAAAGTTATAGTGACCTGAATAATAATACATTATGTTTGAAAATAATTATTTCGCCCCCCCTGGAGTAGAAATGTTTGTTACCTCCAAACAGAGTATGCTCAAGCAACATTATGCATAGCAACATGGTAACAACCACTTAGAACATCCTAGAGGTCAGACAGCCCGCGCCTCACCTTGTGCCTTACTTCCTGGTCCAAAATGGTCTCCTCTACTGTGCCACCCCGAGGCGGGGGGAGGAAAAGTTACTATTGGTGGTGCCCAAAACGAAGACGGCTACAGTTATTGAGCTGGCCCACACCCACCCGATGGCTGGTCATCTGGGGGCTGCCAATACCATACAACGGTTCCTGATCGCTTCCATTGGCCAGATTTAGAAGCGGAGGTGAAACGCTTCTGCCAAAGCTGCCCTATCTGTCAGCGCACCACTCCAGCGTGGCCTCCCCCCAGCCCACTCATTCCTCTCCCTATAATTGAGGTGCCCTTTGAGCGCATTGAGATGGACCTCGTAGGGCCCCTGCCGAAGTCCGCCCGGGGCCATGAGCACATTCTTGATGCTGCCGTATGTGCTCTTTGGAATCCGGGAAGTGCTCCGAAAACATACTTTACATGAACGCAGAAGTTTCTAGCAATGCTAGCTCACTTTTGTGGGTTGCTGTGTTCTGAAATATGTCTGACTACAATTCACGCAAATATGCTTTGCATTCTCAGTGTTGCCACAAGGGGCGCTACAGCAGGTATTAGCCTAAATGTCGTCTTTTACAGTCAGTTTTCCCTTTCAGGTCAACTGCTATCATGGCAGATCAACTGTTTAAAAAGAATCAAAGTTATAGTGACCTGAATAATAATACATTATGTTTGAAAATAATTATTTCGCCCCCCCTGGAGTAGAAATGTTTGTTACCTCCAAACAGAGTATGCTCAAGCAACATTATGCATAGCAACATGGTAACAACCACTTAGAACATCCTAGCAGCTAGTAGGGATGCACCGATACAACTTCAGAACAAGGCAGATACAGATACTTTTATTTCTAGTACTTGCCGGCACAGAGTACTGAAACCTGTAATTTCATGCCATTTGTAATTTTTTTTTAAATACTGGGTACAGAAACCAAAAGAATATGAATATTTTAATTTGGCTTAGTTCATTTAGCAAATAGATACTTTCTTCAATCATTTTCACACTTAATTTTGTGCATTTGTACAAGCTTTTATTACTGTCACTGTTCATTTTATTGCTCTATCGTATTTCATCTTTAATTTAATACCACATTACAGCTGCTCCATTGCAACAGCTCAATACTGTAATCACAATATGTTTTCTTGTAAAAACACAGGGAACGTTATACATAAATTTTGTAACAGTGATAAACATATTTTCTGAAATATAATAGTATAATAAATATAATAGTCAAGTTTTTTATAATCTGAAACGGGCTGCGACTTATATTCCAAATTCACTCATATAATGCTATTAGCGTAAAGGAAGCAAAATATGTGCAACACACGCACACTTTTGTATTGGTGCTGAACGAGAGAGACACGTACAGGTTGCTAGTTTCACTTTAGCTTTAAATAAAGTTGTGTATGCTTGATGTTTAAAATAAATGTTGTTTATAGTGAATGCCCCTATAATTTTTGCTGCCACCACACTCAGTCCAATCAGCAAATTCAGCTTGTGCACATCAGCTACAGGCATGAATTAACATTATATTAATTACATACATGTACTTCATAAATATCCTTAAACTCCAATAACTCTATTCTGCTCTCTGTCATTCTGTTGTCGGTGTTTCTTTGTCTAGACACAGCACTGTTCACAAGCTGTGTGGTATCGGCTTTTGGTAATGGAGCATTTTAATAAGTACGAGTACGAGTACAGGAGCGCAGTATCAGACCCCATACGATACCAGTATCGGTGCATCCCAACTCTGCAACCACGCACAACACCCAATCAAAACAGCCACAAACAAGCAACAATCTGGTAATTGCTAATCTGGTAATTAATAAAGGAATCCATCCCTCGTCTATCAAACACACACACACCTGTATATCCACTCAAGAATTCACACAAGTCAGTGGTTTCCCCCTGACTTTCCTTGCAGGACCGCCTGCCAAGTTTGACGGTTAACCTTTTCTTGCAAGACGAAACGCTGAGGTCAGTGCAGCATGACCAAACCGTAAAGAAGGAAGGAGAGAGAGAGAATGGAGGAGAAACTAAGTAACTTGTTCCACTGTGACTGAAGAAAAATACTTTTTAAAAGAAGTAAACGAGAAAAAGAATCAGCAGTATCACCAGTACAAAAAAGTACTTTGGTGGTACCATAGTACAGTGATGTATCAAGTGCTTTGTACCACGGTGCTTTGATATAACATGGTACTGAATGATTACAGTGTTCAAGAAACATGGTATTTACATGGTGCAACCAAGGCACTTCAAAATACCATGGTAAATGTCAAAAAATAAAAAGGTAGTATTATGTTTTGGTTTCTTGTTAATTAGTAGAGGAGTTCATGTGCAAGTCATGAGATGCAACCCTGCAGCAAACCATGTTTACTACATTATCTGGCTTTAAACAGCATGTGATGTTCACTGTCAAATAAAATTGCTTTGTTACAGTCTAATTCAAGGGGAAGGGGATTGATATTTTTTTTTGGCTAGATGAACTTGTGCATACATAAGCAGTGCAAAATGTACATAAAATAAACCAATATGCATAACTGGAATGCAGTGGGCGAATGGTAGACCCTGTGTTACCCATAATACCCCTCATTTACCCTCTCAGCAAGTAGGTGGCGGATATTTCCCGCTTGCAGTCGAAACCTCATGAGCTGCGTCTCGAGGGCGATGCATCTCTTCTGCCAGTCCACACTGTTGTTGTGCACTGCTGCCGTGGATACACCCTCCATCACCTCTGCCATCTGTGCCTGTGTGCCAGGCTGCCAACCTGGTGGAGTGAAAACACAATGAACTTTTGTATGCATGCATGACAAATAGAGGACAGGGTTAACAGGTTTGCCCTGAAGCCTGCAATGGAGGGGTGGGACCTTGGACCCAGGCTTAGAGGAAAAATATACATAAATGAACCACTGTCTACTGAAATTAGATTGTCCATTGGACAGTGCAACTAGAAAAAGACTGAAAGCCCATCGAAACCAAAGCCAGACCTTAATAGTAGTGACCAATTGACAGGCCAGACCAATTAATCTGACAATTTTTGAAAAGACTGACACTGGCTTATAATTGTCCTTGTATCAATTCCAAAATATACCAACAGCCTTGTCCATAAAAAATTTATATTTTCTGTTTCCAATGCTTCATTTCCAGTGTTCCCACACCTTTTGACCAATGAACTGCCAAGACCTTTCCATTAAAAGTCAAAATCACCTTGTAAAGTCATTTCTGATTATTGGATAAGTATTTGAAAATACATTTTATAGAGATTGCACTGAAGGAGGGCCATTTATAGCCTAAGAAACATAAGAGTTGAGCATAACTGGCATAATTTCCAGTCCTTTCCAGGACTGACATCCCAATTTTTTAAATTACCTGATATTCCTATTTTCCATGATCTGGATTTTAGCACAGCTGTGTAGATAGTATCTGCATGGAAGCATGGTTCTGCATCAGAGTAAAAACTAAAAAGAGGGACTGTGCGATAAAGTTTAAAATAATTTACAAGATAATAATAAGATAATAATTTATATTTATGAGAAATTAGGTCACAATTAGAAATAAATAATTGTTAGATATTGTTAATTATTAGATATAAGGTTGCAATTATGAGAAACAGTCACAATTGAGATATGTCATATTGTGAGTTACAAAGTTACAATTATGATAAATAAATTCACAGATATTTTGAGATAAAGTCACATTCTGATACAAAGTCATATTTAGGACAAATTAAGTCAATTACAAGACATATGTTCGCAAAAAATGCCAAATTATACTGTTAGCTGTAAAGTTGCATATGCTGTCATATTGTGAGATACAAAGCTAAAATTATGAGAAATAATCACAATTTTGAGATATACAATCATATTGTGAGATACAAAGTTGTATTTACAAAAAATTAAGTTGCAATTACAAGACATACTTTCGCAATAACACCAAATAAAAAGTACAATGCCAAAGTCACAATTACAGAAATAAAGGTGAAATTTTTAGATGTGTATATATACGGTCATACTATGTGATAGCATAGACTGTAAAAAAAAGATGGATTAAGGTTAGGGTTAACCCTAACGACGTGTCTCCTATTCCTTCCACTATAGAAAAGTGAAGCCAAAGCATCTCAGTATGGCTGCTGCCATCTTGAGTAAATTACGTAATTTTGAGCCAGAGTCTGCGCAGTAGAGATTCGTTTGGAGCCAGAGTCTGAGCAGTAGAGATTCGTTTGGAGCTAGAGTCTGAGCAGTAGTGTCGTGAGGTGGAGCCACGGTATCAAACTCCCGCCCAAATTCCCGCAGACCCAATCAACCATAACGACACGCCCCGTTTTTATAGCATCAAATTACTAGCTAAAATCAAACTTATCACAAAAACGAACAATTGAACATATATATCAGCGTGATAACAACTACCTTTAATGACCAAAACTATCTTTGAGAAAATTGTATTGGAATTTTTTTAATTTTGACTCAAGTCCCATTCGTTTACATGGAGAAGGCGGGGTTTATGACCTGTACTGCAGCCAGCCACCAGGGGGCGATCAAAGAGCCCGCAGCTTCACTTTTCAGGACGTGTGAGGCACACCCGATAGAGTCACAAATTACAAGATAAAGTCGCAATTACCTTGTTATTTTTTTCATTCCAAGGCACAAAGGGGCTTCCATTCGTCACCATTTAGTTGTATTATGCCTGCATTACCAGCCATCGGCCACCCTGCTCTCTAAAAAGTGAAATGGTATTGGCCATTAAAAACTTCATATTGGTGGACCTTTACTTAATAGTGTAACTGACAGGAACTTTGTTTTAGTTTTTGTATGTTTCAGGGACTGGAGTTTAATTCACTTAGACAGTCTAATGAAACAGAGGCCAATATCTTGGTGATCTAAGACTGACATTTACCATAAGATGAGAACATACTGTTGACATCACAGGTCTGGTGGTAAACGCTCTGGGCCAGGGGTTTCTTTTCACCTCTCTTTTATTGTTTCCCTTCTTTCAAATGAGCTCACTTTTTAGTGATCACCTAGGTAACCACTGAAAAGCAAACTTGAGCTGTGAGCTGCTCATAGAGATGACACAGTTTAACAAAGGCTACCTTTTCGCTCTCTACATACACATTGTAGACACTAATATGCACATGCATATATCGTGTGAAGGCTGTAGGGATGGGGTAAGTTCAGCTATGCATGTGTAGACAGTTTACCCAGTGGCCTAAGCAATCCCTACCCTATATTCAGCCACCTAAATATCCCTGCTCAAGCAATCCCTTCTTAATTACAAGCCCATGGAGAAACAGGATCCTGGCCCACACAATGGAGTCTTTCTGCATGACAGTCCCATTACCAATATGAGGGAGGGGGGGTCTCTCTCTTCTCCTGAAAAAGGGATAAAGAATGTGGAGGCTGAAAGGAGACAAGCTCTTGAATAGTGGAAAGCACTGATTTTTACCTGTACAAAGCTGTAAGCATTTTTACCTGTACAAAGCCGACAGGCGACCATTTGTAGCTCACATTTTAAAAGTTTGTAACTTCTGTGAAGCTATAGCGGGTCAGTTATTTTGTCCTATCTATTAACTTATTCAAAAATACATTGGAAATGCAAATTCTAAATACAATTAAGTAAAAAATATTGACTTTACAACTGCCTGGTGCTACAACAGCCCTGACTTTAAATAGCCAACTTCATTTAAATAACCAACTTCTTCAAAAGAAACCCTGTTTGGCATAATCTTGTATTTCTTCGGGGAAAACATATTTAAAAAAAAAAAACAATCAATGCTCATTAATATCGGCCAAATCATTGTCATGTAGTGCACCCAAAATGCAGAAACATGCAGAAAAAAACTAATATGGCAAATTATATGATAGAGAGGCTGATGACAGTGTATCAATAAGTCTGATAATCTGATCTTTATATGACAAGGCAAGATTAGCTCAGGTTTCAAAAAGTCATGTGGTGCAACTCCTCTAAAAGGTAGTGATATTTATGGATAAATAAATTCATTGTTTGTTAAAAAAATAATTAATTAATGTATTTTATCTTGAAAACATATTTTAAAACTTTTTTTTTTATTATAAGAAAATGAATAAGTCTGAAATTTGTTACTACTTTTTATTTGATGGTTTCACCACATGACAAACTAAGTTTTCTATATAAACCATAAATATAAAGAGTACATTTCTGAGAACTTGCCATGTAAGTTTTAAACAAAGTTTTTATAATTTTTTTTAATTTATCATAGACTCTCTTATGTCACTGACCCTAGCAAGATTTTCACAACTGCTATGACAAAGGCTCTCAGGATCCTGTGGTGTATCTAATCAAAGCGTCAGGGTGTATGAGCTGTAGATCATCTTGTTACTGGAGTTTAAATGTAGCCTGTCATAAACGCACACCAACCTCGAAGTCACAAAATGGCTAAAGATAACATCTCTATTCAGACGGTGGGAAAAATAAAACTACAAGATACAATGCAGAATGTGGGACAACAAAATAAAAGAGAACATTTCAAAAATTCATGTCCCAATAATAGATGTTTTTGACAGACTACAAAGCCATAACAGTAAACTTCTGGACAATTTAACGGCCCTTGTAACAGACAATAAAGGAAAGCTATGCTGTAGCCAGCTATGGGGTCACCGAGGTCCGGACCTCTGTAAATTTTTCATGTTCAAAAATAAAATTTGTTCTCTGAATGACTAATTTGCTGTTTAAAACTCCTCATACAAGTGTCTGCATATATATTTGAGTTTAGACAGTTTGCAAGAATGTTTAGCATCCGTGGTATGAAAATGATCACTGCGAAACATGGCTCGAGAGAGTTGTGAGTGATGGCACAGGCGCAGCCGTGTTGCCAGATCCAGCTATTATAAGAGTCTCTGGACTTGTCTTTTTTTCTACTTAATTTAAAATTTTTAGAAAGTTAATAAAGTGGGTAGTTAGGGTTGGCGGTATCTTTATCTTATTAGCAAAATATTTTAACTCATTTCGGTTCATTTTTTATTCATTTTTCGGTTTTTATTTGTTTTCATAGAAATATCTGGCAACACTGCATCGTCGGCACTTAAACTGACAGTAATCAAAAAAGCCCACAGACAGGTTTTTGCTGACACAATACTCCATTTGGTAAGGCAAACGCAAAAAAAAAACCATCATGATATTATCGTATGTGATATTATTATCAACGCTATCAAAAATAGGTTACAGAATGAAATGAAATATGCAAACATTAGCCATAGTAAAGTATTAACAAATTTTGATGCAATAAATATGGTATAATTTAACAATGTTCATCCCTCCAAAACAGAGAAAACTTCTTTCACAAACATACATGTCTGTCTCTTTTGAAGTGTTTAGTGTATGTAATGAGTTGTATTTGTAGGAGTTATTACCCATATGCCTTGATTAGGACATATTCAATATGCACAATTATATAGATAAGATTTATCAAATATTTACAATAATATAAAACTAACAATTCTGTTAATATAACAATAACTATTGCAATTCCACAATAGTTTCACCATCACTGTCACAACTGGAAATATGAAAGTGTTAAGCTCATAGCTGGTAAGTTAATTTCCATGAATCAGTTTAAACTTTTTTAAACTTAATTTGATTCTTGTTTAAACTTTGATTCTCATGTTATTTACGTCATCACTCAAAAATGTTCACAGAAGTCTCTTATTACAGTAATAAACAGTTTATATTAGTTTAATTATCAATTTTATGCAGACTACCAATACTAAATATCACTCTTAATCTGTATGTTAA